CAGCGACACCTCTACACCCCTTGCCAGCATGAAGCAGTTTCAAAAGCTGAGACCTTCACCCCTTACCCCCAAAGAATTTGTGTCCCATTTGTTTGAGGGGGTAATGATGATGGGAGCTAGACCCCAAAAAGGGAAAACCCTGGATTTTCCCACATGGCCATATTTCTGGCATTTTCCTGAGGCTATAATCCCATCAACTGGGCTTTCATTGTGGCTACACCTAATCTCCCAATTTTGTTACCCTTAACCTAGCTTAGCCCTCCATTGTTTTACCTCCCTATGGTCCCTGGCCACTTCCCACCCTTAATCCTATCTAGGCTCAATTCTTCCTTGGCTCTGGTCCAAGTTCCTGGAATTGTATTACCTCATAGACTACTAGGCCACTCCTAGATCCCTCCCATAGTCCTTGTATATGAGGGCCCTCTTGTCTCCATTAAGGTATTTAGATTCTTAAAATCTAGCCACTGCTCAGATTCTTATAATCTTCAGATTCTCAAAATCAAGCAATGGCTTAGATTCTTCTTAAAATCCAGCCAATAGCTCACTAATGTTCAGACTCCTTAAGAGTGTGGCCAATATGACGAACATTCTAATAAACCTTGTCTTTCGTTGAAAAAAAAATTACATTGGAGCAAATGGAAGCTAATGATTTTATGAAAAATCAAGAAAATATAAAACAAAACCAAAAGAATGAAAAAAAAATAGAAGACAATATGAAATATCTCATTGGAAAAACAACTGACCTGGAAAATAGATCCAGGAGAGATATTCTAAAAATTATTAGACTACCTGAAATTAAAAAAAAAGAGCCTAGTCAGGGGCCTAGTTATTTAGCTGTGCTTCTAAATATTGTTGTCAAAGATCTCCATTGTTATACATACTTCTCTTCTCTCTCTCCTCCTGATTCTTGCCGAAACAGTAATTTTCACCAGGAACAATAATGAAACTCAATAAAAGAGACAACTTTCTTTTCAAACAAATCAATTTCTATTGATAGCTTTTAATTTTACATAATCTACATTTGCCTCCACCCCTCTAAACCCCCCTAAAAGAGGGCAAAGAGTTCAGCAAATCTAACATATGGTATACAGACCTTTATACCCTTAATCTCTTACGTCTTCAAGGAGGGGATGGAGGTACCTTTTCTTGTCTTTTCTTTGCAGGCAAGGTTGGGTTGTTATGATTTTGCAGTATTCAGTTTCCAATGTTTTGGTATTGTTTTTCTCCATTTACATTGTTGTAGTCATTTGTATTTGTTGTTTTCCTGGATCTGCTTATTTGGCATTTTATCAGTTCATATAAGTTTTATTTGTATTCATCATATTAATTACCTCTTTTAATATTGTACTAATATTATATTACACTCCTTCACTATGCTTTCATTCCCCATCTTGACCCATTGGTGAATCAGTTAAATCCTCCATTGTTTTCTTCTATTAAGTCCCTTGTCCCCTTACTTCTCACTGATCTTGCCCCTATAAGCCTCAACCTTGGAGTACTCCTGTCATCTGCTGCATTTATTCCTTCTAATGTTGAAAGAAGCAGGGGAAAGCTATGAAACCATGATGACTAGGTCCACTAAGATTTTATATTACATAATCTCAACTAGGCCTTTGTTGTGAAAGATGATCCTTTTTTAGCTCCCTACTCTATTCACTAACCCATTCACCATAGTGCCTTTTCCAAATTTTTCATTTCCCCTCAAATATTTCATGGCTCTTCCTTCTTGAAAACTTCTTAGATGAGAACATTGATTCATATTTCACTGAAAAAATTGGGACCCTTTGCCAAGATCTACCTCTCTCCCTTCCTTCTCATCTCACATCATTTAGATGCCTGTCTCCTTCATCCCTCTTTCATATGAAGAGATGGACCTACTTGTCAAGGTAAACCCTTCTACATGCAGAAGTGATCCCATTGCATCCCATCTTCTCCAGCATATTACTCCATCTATCTTTATTTTTTTTCCTTTTTATTGGCTGCTATCCTACTACCTATAAACATGTCCATATATCTCCTACTCTTAAAAAATCCTGCAGTTGATCAATCCATTCCCACCTAATTATTGTCTTATATCTCTCCTGTCTTGGCTAAACTCCCTGAGAAGAACATCTAAAATCGTTTTCTCTTTTCCTTCTCTTCTCACTCTCTTCTTAATTCTCTGCAGTTTAGTTTCTGATCTCATCATTCAGCTGAAACTACTCTCTCTAAAGTTACCAATGATCTCTTAATTGGCAAAGATAATAGTCTCTTCTTACTCTTCATCCTTGACCTCTCTCTTTTATACTGTCAATTACCCTCTTCTCCTGTACAGTTTCTTCTCTCTAGGATTTTATGACTCTTCTCTGTCCTGGATCTTCTCCTACCTCTTTGGTCATTGTTTCTTTATCTCCTTTGCTGGATCTTCATTCAAATCATGCCCACTAACTGTGGGATTATCCAAGACTGTCCAATCCCCCTATATTTTTCAGTGATCATGTCAGCTTCCATTGACTCAATTATCATCTCTATGCTTATGATTCTCAGATCTACTTATCCATCCCTAACCTCTATTCTGACCTCTAGTATAACATCTTGAATTCGATGTCCTGTGGACACCTTAAACTTAATGTATCAAAGACTGAATTCATTACCTTTACCCCAAAACCTCCTCTTTTCCTAATTACCTTTGTACTGTTGAGGACATCATATTTCAGGCTCAAAACAAAGGTTTCATGCTTGACACTTCATTCTTTCCCATCTTCCAAATCCAATCTGTAGCACCTCTTCTCTGACACTGCCACCACCCTCACACAGACCCTCACTACCTCATGCCTGAACCAACTGCAGTAGCCTGCTGGTTATACTACCTGCCAAAAGTCTCTCCCTACTCTGATTCATCTTCCATTTTTCTGTCAAAGTGATCTTCCTAAAGGACAGGTCTGGACATATACCCTGTTAAATAAACTCTAGTGGCTCACTCTTCCCTTAGGGTTAAATATATAATTATCTGTTTGGCTATTGAAGCTTTTTCTAAACTCGCCCCCTCCTACCTTTCCAGTCTTCTTACACATTTCTCACTCTCTCCCAATATCCTCCACATTCTCTGGGTTCCAGTGACTCTGGCCTCTTTGCTGTTCTTTGACGAGCATCTCCCAGCTCCCAGCTCTGGACGGTTTCATTGGCTGCCCCTAGACCTGGAACAGGTCTCCCTTTTTATCACCATCTCTTGGCTTCTCTGAATTCCTCAAAGTCCAAGCTAAAATCTCACCTTCTGCTTGAAGACTTTCACAGTCTTCTTAAATTCTAATGTCTTTCCCCTGAGATCATCTCTAATTTATTTTTATATGTCTTTTATGTACGTATTTGCTTGCATGTTGTATTCTTTCTTCATTAGACTGTGACCCTTTGAAAGGAGGAACTATGTTTGCTTTTCTTTGTATCCTCAACACATTGCCTGGCATGTAGTAGTAGGTGCCTAATAAATGTTTGTTGACTTCTCTTGATATTCAAGTACTACAACTTGTTCAACTATTACCAAATTAATGGAGACCTACTTTGTTTACAATTCTTTGCTACTACAAAAAGTGCTGCTACAAACATGTAGGTGTACAGGGAAACTTACTTTTTGTCACTGGATTTCTTGGGGTGTCTACCTACCTACCTAACAGAAAAATCTGTGGGTCAAAGGATATAGATATTTTAGTCACTTTCTTTTGCATAATTCCAAATTGTTTTCTAGAATGATTGGATCAATTCACAATGAGGAGGCAACTATTCTTTTGCTAACAGAGGACTTTTTTTTGACTTAGAACTTACTTGTCACTTTTTAGAAAAGTAACATTTCTCCTCTCCCACCAAGTGACCACAAGATCTGCCTATATCTTTGGCTTTTCTTTTTAATTAATTGTTTCAATTAATAAATATATATTTTTTTCTCTCTCTGATACTTACCTCGAGATCAAAAATAAACAAAAGCAAAACCCTTGTAATTAACATACATAGTCAAGCAAAACAAATTCTGGCAAACTCCCTGTCCAAAAATGTGTTTCATTTGGAATATGTAGATCTTTGACTTTCTAAACTGAAAAGTTGAAAGTGACATTTTACTTTTATCCCTCAGAAAGAGCTGAGGAGCTGGTTATATAAGCTCTAGCAATAAAGCAGGTAATAATATGACCTAACTAGACCAGAATATGTGTGAAGGACCTAAAAGAATACCCACGAGATTAGACTTTTGTGCTCTTTTGTCTTAAAAATATTCCATTTGTGATCTGTCACTAGACTATCTTTTCAAGCCAATTATGCATTATTCTACCTCATGTCTTCTGCGTTCCAGCCAAACTGACCTACTTCCTGTACCCCATACATGACATTCTATCTTCTAGCCTTGCCCTTGCAGAGTCTTTCCCCGTGCCTAGAATATTCTCTCTCCTCATCTTCACCTTTTGGAATCTTTAGTTCCATTAAAGTTTGAACTCAAATCCCAACTCCTCTGAGACAAATTTCCTCATTCTCCCAGGTGTTAGTGCTCTCCTAAATTAGTTTTTCTTTTCTAAAAAAAAATTCTTTATCTTATTTTTAATTTATGGAATAAAACAAGCATTTCTATGACATAGCAGAATAGAAAAAAAATGATTGCACATGAAACTGCAAATCTATTATGTACAACTTGCTATTCCTTCAAAATTAGTTTTTCAAAAAAGTTTATTGATTTCTTTTGTCTTTATGTCACCATCATTTCTGACTAAGTCTTTATCTTATTAAAACAAGACGAAACCCCAAAAAGTGAGAAGAAAAAACAAAATAATACCAAAAGCTATTTGTACAAACTAACCAACATATCATCAGAGTCTGAGGGTATATACAATATTTCACATCCATATTCTGCAAGGAAAGAAAGGCAGCATATTTTTTCCTGTCTGCTCTTTGGGGCCAAACTTGGTGATAGTAATTACATCACAGTCAATTTCTATTATTTTTCTTGTTTGTTTCCATTTTCTTGGTGAAAGTCATTGGTATATTGTTTAACTGACTCTGCTTAATGAATTTTGTAGCAGTTCAAATATGATTTCATATGCTTCATATGCTTTTTCATGTTTACTGGTTCTTTTGGAGCAGTGATATCCCATTCCATTAAAGAACCAAAATTTGTTTAACCATTCTCCATTTGATGAGTACCCCAAATCACTCTTTATCTATTTTGTGCATATTTTTCATTTATTTACTTGCATACATATTGTATCTTCCCCTCAACCCCATTGTAGGATGTAAGCTCCTTGAGGGCAAAGACTATCTCCCTTTTGCCTGGCACAGAGTAAATGTTTGATAAATATGTGCTGATTTTTAAAAAAATGATTATTGATGTCTTCTCTTATCTGCAGGGCAGAGGAGTGCCTGGATATAGTTGTCCTTCTTTCTCTGGTTCCATACCAAAGGTGGGAGCTTTCTTTCTCAGCATGTTGATTTTCTTTCCTGGAGGATGGAGAAGATGCTGGCATGAGAAAAAGTAATCTAATTCCACTTGCAAGAATGTTTTTGTAATAATGTCTCTGGAATTATTGCTAAACATCATATCCTCAATTTGTGGAAATCATTTTTACTAGGTTTATATGTTTTGAACTAGAATTTTCCCCTATAGTCCATTTTTTCTGCTCCTCATTAAATACATCTCTTTTTCTAAGAAAGTTCTGTCTGTTTTATGGATTAAGATGCATTTGCCTATAATATTCTCTCAAACACTTGGTAAAAGTCTCTAGGGCTGAAGCCTGTAAAAGTCAGTCAGCTGAATCCCAAAACTGGTGACTGTACTCTTGTTGGCAATAGTTAGAGTGGAAATACTTGGGCTCTGTCCCAGTAAAATCCTCTAAATTTCGTTGAAGTAAAGGAAAGTGTTGTCAACACAAAGGACGTTCTACTTCGATCAAATGTATTGGCTTGTAGATTCCCTTGGGGTTAATGAAGGTGGGAGGAAAGGGGAAAAGGGACTCTCTAATTGATAAAGGTTTCAATGAATCAGAAGAGAAATAGGTAGCTTGTGGCCTTAGACTTATGAGGTCTTTGAGAATAAAAACTTGAACCTATCAATTCTGTCTAGCTAGACTCCTCCTCTTTTACCCAATGCTGAACTCTTGTGTACATATGAATAGCTCATTTCATTAAAATGTGTACTCAGATAATTTTATTATTTTAAAAAGGTGAACACATTCTGAATATTAATTTATAAAAAAACTATTTTATTTATCGAATTCAAGAAACTATAATTTAAATAATCTTATTCTTTAAATTAATGACTAAACTTATTTTGGCTGCTAGGTAAAGTAGTGGATAGAATGCAGGGCCTGGCTTCAGGAAGATTCATCTTCCTGAGTTCAAATCTGGCCTCAGATACTTAGTAGCTATGTGACTTGGGTGAATCACTTAACCTAGTTTGCCTCAGTTTCCTCATCTGTAAAATGAACTGGAGAAGGAAATAGCAAACCTCTCCCGTATCTTTGCCAATAACAAAACAAAACAAAAAATGGGATCCAGAGTCAGACAAAACTGAACACAACTGAACAACAACAAAACTTAATTTAAAAAACGAAAACTTTACAATGGCTTCTTTTAATCAAACCACTTCCACTGATATATTGGAGCCGGACCCTATGAGGTTGAGAGAGCTGATTGTTAAATTTTCATTGTGAGCACTTATACCTCAGAAATAAGCAATTCCTAGAAATCCAGGTTTGGTTTTATTGATTTCATTGATTATTTAGACTGAAAATAATAGAGAAAATATTAACAATGAAAATTAAAGCTAAAAGTGTATTGCATATAGATTTCTCCCCCACAGAGCTGATTGTCAAACATGTATCAGTACTTTGGCTATCCTAAAACATGGAACAACCTTCTATTATTAATATCCTGTTGTGCTGATAACACAAGCTTTTCCTTCTTGGCTAAAAATACACATTTCCAACTGGACCCAATTCCTCCAGCACTGAACTTTGTCATGAAGAGTCAGCAGTGGAATATTACTATCTGTAAGAAGAGCTGGTGTCTTTTAAAATCTAAAATTTTAACTTTTTTATCTTCTTTCCTTGTATCAACTAGATTTCCTGGACCACAAATTATGTATTGAGTCATAGATAACAAAATGGTCAGAAGAGTTAAAGGTGAAGGAAACAATTAGTTTTTCCATGACCTGGCTATAGACAACAGGAGTGGCAGCCTCCTGAGAAAGGGCAGAATGGGGTAATCAGCTTTTCTGACCCTAACAAGCACTGGGCTTCACCACGCAGAAGTGCTGAGACCAAGGCAGTGTCAAAGAACAGTCTGTAAGTAGGTCACAGATAGATGCTAGACTATGTGATGATTGAATGAGTAAAGAGGCCTCCTTCTTCCTGTAGCACCAGAATTTTGTGGAAGCCCTATAGGGGAAGTGAGTGGGGAGCAGAAGTAGGAAGCCATAAGTACATGGGCAACATACCTACAGAAACCTGAGTCCTCAGATGCTCCTTTTTGTGTTCTCAGGGTCCAAGGTACCTACTACATTTAAAATACAGTCATTTTAGTGAGCTCATCCTCACTTTAGGAGATCAGAACAACCAGACATTTTATATCATTACATGAAGTAACTGATATCTTTAGCTAAATCACTAAATTTTGAAAACATTCTGTGTCTATAAAGATATTACATATCTGTGAAGACACTGAATATCCATGAAGACACAGATATTCTCCTGGCTACCTGTGTTCACCACAAAAGAAAGTCATTGGCACAATAGTCTGTGCCCAGGCACACCAGGTAAATACCCCAAGATATGCCTATGAATTCTTACAGACTGACAATTGGATGAATTAATCAACAAGCATTTATTAAATGCCTTCTTTGTGTCAGGTACTGTGCTGCCTTTTACAAGGAACCTAAACTGTACCATAGCCACTTATTGTGAATTTCTAGTTTAGACTCACCTTTTACCTCTGACATCACCTCCCACCTCTTGCTTTTTCCTAGTGGATTCCTGACTTGTTGAAAACTCCTATTGGTGTATCTTGCATTTCTAGTCTTTTAGTTTCCTTTGAAATTTCCTTGTTCCCTAAGATCCTTTAGGGATACTGAGGAAAGGAAATATATGGATCTTCTGACAAGGGGAAGCAAAAGGGGTCCTGGGTATCAGAGGACCAACAGGACAAACATGAAGATTTTCTAGCAGAGAAGCATGGAATCACTGTGATTAGTGCAGTCAATGATCACTGACAAAGTTATAACTTTTTCAAGCTGGAACTTTGGTGATTTCCATTTGAAGACAAGTTTAGACACACATTAGTGAGGCATTTTGCAGGCTGGCTGCAGGATAGTGAGTGTTTTGGTCACATAAACTTTTGAGGATTGCCTACTGAGTTGTAAAGGGATGGTCCTGGAGGAGGGAGTGCTCATATTACTGAAATTAAAGGTGCTTGAAATGTTGAAGTGTTTATACTTAATGAATCAAGCACCAAGCAAAAAGGAGACCAAAATCAGAAAATATTCCTGGAATATGAGAGGTTCCTAATGAGACTCAAATGAGATGATGGATGTATAGTACTTTACAACCTTAAGGCATTATATAAATTACAGTTATTATTATTATTATTGTTGTTATTATTATTAATATCATATTATCACCATCACCATCACCACCACCATCACCACCACCACTATCATCATCATCATCAGTATTAGTATCATCCTATAGTCCCCAGGCTGAGTCTGGTTATGATTTCATTTCCTGAACTTTTTACTGTATTCCTACTGAGCTTAAGCATTGTCTATAGAGCAAAACAGGGGTGTATGCTGGTAAATGTTTAACAATCATGCTCTCCAGATGAAAAAAAAGTGCATATTTTTAAGTTTAGTGTTGTTAGTAGTTTCTTAAGTCTAGACAATGAACAAAATCAAGACACCATGGTATACAGCATTTCCTGATTTCTAAGGTGTAAAAGCCCATGCTGAAAATTTAATAATTGACCTTAGCTCATTAGAGTTGGCTCTAGCAAACTCCTGATTCTAGGCTTCATCAGGATTCATCATTCAGGGTCAAGTAAGCAGTCTCAAGACTAGGTGTCTAAAAATAATAGAGACTGTGTAATGAGCTCGGTCATGCAATTGATTCAGCCTAACAGAGTGGACAGTGTTCTTTTGAGTCTCAGTGCATAGGACTACCATTTGCAATTTGCAATCTTTGCTACTCTGAATAAATTTTATCTGTGAAGAGCTATTGTCTACCACCAGGGTTTCCCACGTTAGCAGCAACAAATGCATGGCTAAGTCATAAAACAAACCCAGGGTCTAACTGATTCATTCCACATATGCTTATGAAACATCTACTGTATGCAATTCATAAAAGCTTGAGGAAATGTTCCATGACAGAGAACACTAAAGCAACTAGAAATTGTATACTAGCACATGGAATTGTTAATAACTTTAGCTAAGTTCTGATTATTTTTAGGTGACTTCAAAACATTTTTACTGCTTGCTAGCTATAGACACCTAAGTGGCACAGTAGATAGAGTACTGGGTCAGGAGCATTTGACTTCAAATTTGGCCACAGATCCTTTTGCATTACCATGGGCAAATCACTTCCCTCCACCTCAGCTTTTTCAACTATAAAGTGGGAAAATAATAAAAGATTCCTCCCAGTGTTGTTCTGAGGCTCAAATGAGAGATTTGTAAAGTACTCAGCATACTGGCTGGTACATAGTAGGCATTTTAATAAATAATCATTCCCTTCCTTTTCCCCTCATTCAAATTCTTACTTAGGTGTCCAGGATTCCTAGTGGCAGAGTCATGCTTTCAGCCTATCAGGTCCACATGGTTAATTGCATGGAATGAATTACCATAAGAAATCAATACATTATTTTCAAGAGTTGATCAAGGGAGAAAGAATATATCTATTTTCACAGATGCACATTGTTTACCAGATTTATAGCCATTTCTTTCTGATTTATAAAGAATCATATTTCTGGGATAATCTTTGAAACATGGAAGATAATTTTGGTTCTTCAGCCTCCACTGATATTTTTGGGCATAGCTTTTGTAAGACATCTAAAGGATATGAATTTATTTTGGCCATAAAAGGTCCTAGAATACTGGACATAATGACTTATTCCCTTAATATTTCACGGGATCAAGGTGATGAATTTATCAGTGAAGGGGGTCTACTTGCCAGGGCAATCTACTTAACAGCTCATTTCTGACTAGTAAATAAGTTATTAAGTACTTATTAACTATTCCTCTGCATTGTAATTAGGAGCTCAAATGAAGTAAATCCTTTATTTTGATGGAGATATTGTTGACAAATCAGACAGTTCTACCCTTAGTACTTATTTTTAGTCCCTTAAGAAAATCTCAGATGAACTGGGAAATGATGTTGAGAACTACCAGTATTGCTTCTGGGGACAAAAGTCACCCTGGATGACTAAAAGAGAAACTGAGGCAGAGCTCTGAACCAAAGCACTTTATTAAAGGGAGCTGGCCCCCTCTAATGAAGTGAATCTCAGACCTTCCTTCTCATCTGAGATGACCCCCTCCTTCCAGGATCCTATTTTTATAGGGTTTGATACCAATTTTACTACCTAGACATTCTAAAGCAACTACACAAAATACAGAATTCCATTGGTTGACATATAGATAATAAGCTAAAATAAGTAAAAATGATATGTCAGCAGGGTCACTAGTTGGTGAAGCAAGTATTATCTCTGCTGACTAGGTGGTCACAAAATGGATGGGCTCATCCTCAGGTTAGGCAAGAAGAGATGGTATAAGCTGTACATATGCTCCAAGAACATATTGAAGGGGGACTTTCCAAACCATACCACCACCCACACTTGATTTGGTCATGGAATTTGAGCAAAATGGGATGGAGATATCTGCATCAGCATTCTTGTGGTTATGCAAGTAAGCTCCATAGCTGGTAAACAAGTGTGACGTCCTCCTTACTTGAGGAGGGCTGCCTGGGTCATACTCACCTGCAGTCTTCTGGTGTCCCGGAGTCGACAGAGAGATGTAGTTTCAAAAGGTTTATTCAGTCATGTCTCAAGGGGGTAAGCAACTCCCCGCTGGTCCTGCTTTCAGCGTTTTATATCTTTTACTCATGGGAACATACCCCAATGTAACAGCGAACAAAGCAACAAGGTTTACATATCTTTACCAGTAGGCAACACCTAGAATTTTTCTCATTCGAATACCAATTAAAGTATCAACAAGTCCTTAACAACAAGTACATTTCTGTGCAACATTGTCCTGGCTGTGTCCTTCTCCCTTGCTGTTCCCGTAAAACACCATGTACTGCTTGTTCCCGGATGTTCCCAATACTTGATACATGAACTAGCAATACTTGATACATCTTTGTGCTAGAGCTGACTGTGCTTGAGCTAGCAACATTGTTTTATAGTTTGAGCTTGCCTAGTATCAGAGTTCTGCTGATTGGGGGGTGCAAGGTCCGTGGTCGGAGAACCCAGCCAGGATATTCTGCACATGTACTAACACCGAGAGGGGCCTTTGCCCATCAGTGAAGCCTCATGAAGAGCCTGTGGTCCTCAACGTCCTACAGATCCCTACAAACAAATAATGAGCGTTACTTTAAAGCGTGGGGCCTATTATAGGACCCTTCAATTAGGATCTATGTTCCTACGTGACTTATGCAAAATATGGATTAATACATTGCTTATTCTTTTACCTATTGTTAGGTGATTAAATATTATTACTAGATGAACATATTAAAATAATTGCTAAAAATCATTATACCTTATAGAATCATAATGGAGGTTATAAAATAATCAGGACTTAAGAGTTTGAGTAGAGGTCTGCAATGAATCATCTCTCCCAGGTAATGTAATGAGATAGAAAAAGATATATAAACACCGTATCTGTCCTTAAGAATGATTTGGGGGATAAAATAAGTGTATGAAAATTTGGAGGGGAAAATCAGGTTGAAGAGACAGATCACTTATAAACTCATTTTTGGGGCATGTTATCATGAAAAATCATACCTATGGTAAAATTCACTCCTTCAGTACTCTGATAATTAAGAGTAGGTGGTCATTTGACCTAGGTTCCTTTCTACTTAAAGCACACAAAGTTAATTGATAGTCCTAATGACATTGCAAGGGATATTTTTTAATTTACTTCAGACAACAAACATTTTTAACGTTTTAGCAAACTAATAATCCATATGTAAATGATATTGCTTTTAAATATTTTCTTAAAGCAGACCCAACAATCGAAATACCAAATTAACTGCAATGGACTTATGAAGGAAGACACTATCTGCATCCAGAGAAAGAAGTGATAAATAGAAGTTTGCATAAAATGATTTTACATTACACACACACACACACACACACACACACACACACACACACATACATGTATACATGCATATTTGTGTCTAAGGGTAGCCTCTAGGTAATCTAGGGTACGGGGGGAAGGAAAAAAAAAGAAAAAATCTTACATGATAACTATTGTATATTTAGGAGAAATAGAAAGTTGTACATAATAGATTTGCAGTTTCATTGTGATAGTCTTTTTATTTTATTATGTTTTACAAACGCTTTTTTATTTCATAAATTAACAATAAAATTATTTTTTTAAAGTACTATGTGACAGGAATTTTACTAAGTGCTGGGAATACAAGTACAAAGAATGAAACAATCCCTACTAAAAAGAAATTGCATTTTATTGGGGGAGACGACAGATACATATGTAAATATATACACAGCATACGTATAAAGCAAATAAGTATAGACATGCACACAGTTGTTAAATACAAGACAACTTGAGAGGGAGCACACTAGCATTTGGGAGGCTCTGGAAACTCTCTGTGTAAAAAATGGTGCTTGAGAAGTATTTTAAAAGTTAGAATTGTTCTTCCTTTGTACTTCTTTTTTTTTTTCATTTGCTTTGGCAATCAGGGTTAAGTGACTTGCCCAGGGTCACACAGCTAATAAGTGTCAAGTGTCTGAGTCTGGATTTGAAGTCAGGTCCTCCTGACTTCAAAGGCAGAGCTCTATCCACTGCACCATCTAGCTTCCTCATCTTCCTTTGTTTTTGAAAAAGGCCAATAACATCATCAGTGAGAGAGAGACCATGTGCAAGAAGTAAGGAGGGAAAACATCCCACGTATCGGGGTAGGTCCACGTGAAGGCAGGAGAAGGGAGATGGAGTATCATGTGTAGAATAAAGAGAAGGTCAATTTTCCTGGATCACAGAGTATGGGAAGGGGAACAAAGTGAGTCTGGAAAGATAGTTAGGAAGACTTACACAAACTCATGCAAAGTGAAGTGAGCAGAACCAGGAGAATATTTTACAAAGTAATAGCAACATTAAAGGATGATCAACTATGAAGGACATGCTACTCTGATGAACACAGTGATCCAATCCAAAGAACCTATGATGAAAAATGCTTTCCACTTTCAGAGAAAGAACTGATGAACTCTGAGTGTATACTGAAGCATACATTTAAAAGAAATTTCTTTGTTTATAGTGTTTTATTTTGTTGGTGTTTTCTTTTGCAACATGGCTAATATGGAAATATGTTTTGCATGACCTCACATGTGTAATTGAAATCAGATAGCTTTCTTTCTCAAGGAATATGTGGTAGGGAGAAAGAGAATTTGGAACTCAAAAATTTAAAAAAAGATTGTTAAAATTTTTCACATGTAATTAAGAAATATTTAATGAAATAAGTAAAAATGACTTTAAAAAAGAAAAATTTACTGTCTTTTTTCTCCTTCCTCTACCCTACCATTGCAATGTTACATATGTGTCCCATGGGAACCTCCACTGACGTCCCATCATAGCATAGGCATTGCTTTGGGCTCTTGAAGGGTATAATAGAGGAAGTCAGCCTAGAAGATTCACTCAACCTGGAAAGGCTTGAAGCACAGACCCAGAGATGAGCTGTGTGCCTGTCATCCCACATGGAGACTCTCATCTCCTGGGGTTTGGCTACAAGGTGGTGACTTGTTTTTGCTACTGCAACTCATGAAGCTCCAGTTTGCAAAAATGTCAGTGGAGAGACTACCCCACCAGTGAGATCACAGCTCCTTTAGAACTACTTTGGAAGCCTCAAAGTTAGATATCCCAATAGAATACATAATTTGAGTGGCAAGGCAGCATGAGGTAGTGGAAAGGACATTGGTTTTAGAGTCAGAAGACCGGGGGTGAGTTTGAGATCTCATAATTATCCAGTGCAAATCACTCAGACTCCTATTTTCTCTTCTGTAAAATGAGGATAGTAATACTTGCCCCACCTACTGCATCACAGAACCATTATGAGCAAAGCTCTTTGTAAACCTCAGTGTGCAAAAGAAATGAGTGGCACGATTTGTATTGCATGATGATACTGTTTCACCTCCTGACAAATCTGTAAAGCTTTGGAAGTTGTCTCCAATATGTGATATTTTCTCTCTTATTTTGAATAATAACCATTTAAATATGCAAGGCTTAACAGTTTACAGAGTACTTTCATATCTGCTATCTCTTTAGACTTTTGCAAGAGGCAGCAAGGTGGCACAGTAGATAGAGTATGGGGCCTGGAGTTAGGAAGATGTGAGTTCAAATTTACAAAAAGTTCAGACACTTACTAGCTATGTGACCTTGGGAAAGTTAATTAGCCTTCATCTACCTCAGTTTCTTCAACTGTAAAATAGAGATAATTACAGCACTTATTTTCTAGGGTTGTTCTGAGGATCAAATAAGATAATAATTGTAAAGGGTTTACCACAGTGCCTGGTGCATAGTAAGCATTTGATAAATCCTTGTTTCTTTTCTTACTTCATAATACTGAGAGCCAGGTAGGACAAGGATCATAGAATCTTAGATACAGAAATAAAAGGGACCTCAGAGATAATCTAATGCACACCTTTCATTGTATAGATGAGGGAACTTTGGCCCCAAGGAGTTATTTAAGTTACCCTAGAATTAGTGCTTTTTTGGTGATATCAGCCTGGATTACTATCCCTATTTCATAAAAGAGGAAAATAACACTTACCAACTTTGAGATCTTTGATAAGTTACCTAACCTTTCTAAGCATTAGAGTCAGGTTTAGAACCTAAGTCTTCTGACTCCAACCCTATAACACATTGCTGAAGTATAAACATATAGGGATGTCTACCAATAGTGTCCTGATTAAAATTAATTATTCTTCAATGACTTTGATTTTTCCTCCTTGAATAGCTTATTTATTCATTTATTCATTTATCTATCTATCTATTTATTTATTTATTTTTGCATTATGCCACGACTAATAACCAGGTAGTACAGCAGACAGAGCACCAGCCCTCAAGTCAGGAAGGCTTGAGTTCAAATCTGACCATTGACAACTATTAGCTGTATTACTTCAGGTAAATCACTTAACTTCTGTTTGCCTCAATTTACTCATTTGTAAAATGGGGATATAAAACCTCCTTTTGACAGTTATTGTGAGGTTCAAATGAGACATTTCTAAAGTCTTAGTGTAGTATCGGACACATAGTAAGTAATACATGAATGTCAGCTATTGTGATTACATGCATCATTACTTGTAAGTCTGGAACAAATATCCCTCATCTTTTTGCACCATTAGAGATGTGAAATGTTATGTTACATTGTTTTCTTAATTTTTCTTGATTGTCATAACAACCCTCATGCTTCTATAAAACCCTGAAGTTTACTTTCATCACAATAACCTACAAAGTATTAAGTGTCAGAATTATCATTCCCATTTTAAAGATGAGGAAATTGGAGCTCAGAGAGATTCAGTGATATTTTCCATATTCATAGAATTAGAGGATCACAGATTTAGCCCTAAAAGGGTGCTTAGAAGCTTTCTAATCCAATTGCCTCATTTGAGAGATGAGAAATTGAGGCCCAAAGAATGAAAATGATGTGTCTAAAAACTTGTAGATACAGTTTTAAATGTCAGAATTGAAATTTGAATGCAGGTCCTCTGCCTCCAAAACTAGCCTGTTGTATGCTACATCACATTGCCAGGCCAGAGGTGGGTTTCAAACATAATTCTTATGCTAGGTACAATGGTCTTTCTACTATACCAACTGTTTTATGTTTTTTCCCTTGTAAATAAA